GAACAAAGTGTTCCTCTTTAAAAGAAAAAAAATATCACCGCTCTGCCAGTGAGAGTGGTTAAGCTCAAGAGTATCAAATGGAATGCAAATGAGAAGCGTCTTGAAGGGGGCGTGACATGACATGACACCAGAGAGCATTTGACTGGTTTTGATTTGATCATTGATAGGTTGACGTGAATAAAACCATTAATCCATTTAGGTGATAAACTACAAGCTTTACATGTTGATATCAATTTTATATCTTCTAAACAACATTTTTGACAGTGTTTTGGAGCACACTAGTTTAAAAACAAACAATACCAATGCTAACAAATAAAAATCCTTATTTTAATTTAATGGGACCTTGAAAGTCTTTGTGAATTTAAAATATACAATGTTTTTTTTTTTTTTTTTTTTTTTTTTGCTAGCGCCCATTGTTATTCTTTAGGTGAACATTTAATCCAAGCAAGACCACTGTTTCCATGTTTGGAGTGATGGTCCTCTGTTGATATCAGTTTGATGACTTTAGCCACATTGTTATTAACCACACCCCTCGTAGTGTTAGTTTGCTGAGGCAATGATGCATAAAAAAGACCCCCCCCCCCATCTTAAACGCTAGCATGTCATTACCATATTATGATGGTATTCAGCAATACCTAGTGTAGCAAGGTCACACAGTGTTATCGTAAGTGATTTTTTTCATCCAATCATATAATTCTCGGGTGTAAATAAAGGAGGATTTGGGGTGTTATTAGCCCCTTTCACACATACAGACCTTTCCGGAAAATTACCGGCAATTTTCCGGAAAGGTTGTATGTGTGAACAGGTCCTTTTTGAAAATACCGGTAAATTCGTTCTGGCTATTTTCCGGAAAGAGAAGTTGTAACATTACCGGCAATTTGCCGGAATGCTGCGCTGTGTGAATGCAGAAGGAAGATTCCCGTAATAAGCGCGTGCACGTCTAGAACGTGCTGACGTGAGACGTCTGCTTTAGCCAATCACAACAGTCAGACGCATTTACGTCCGCGCGGTTTGTGAGGATAAAAGCCTTTGAATATTTTTCCAGACACATTTAGCTGCTAGAAGTTAGTCAGATCACGTTTATATGTTCTTCTTAATGCCAACTGTGTAAATAATCATCGATGAGAAATACATCGCAGCCGTTTAAAGCTCATTTGTGGTGAATGATGTCAGAATTTACCGGTATTTTGGAATGGATGTGTGAATGCTCTTTTCCGGAAAATTTCCGTAACGTCCTCGCCTGTGTGAACAGCGCTTTTTTGAATATACCGGTAAAGTCGTTCCGGAAATTTTCCAGATATTTACCGGTATCACTGTGTGAAAGGGGCTATTGTGTGTGTGGATTGAAGTCCCGCTGGTTCCGCCTCTGCCCCTTCCGTTTCCACATATAGGCATTGTTTGGCTTCCTCTTCCGCATTGGGGTATGCATGACAGCAAGAACGGTGGCAGAGGGAACATATTGAAGTGGTGACATCTGTAACTGCACTTAACTGGCTGTATTTGATTTTCTGACGTCAGGGGATAAGATAGGTCATCGCTTGTTATTTCCACTGTCATCCCAGCAGGATCGTTCTTTACTCCTAGGGCATATTAAAGTTCTAATGCGTCTGTGAGTGCATGTTGACAAAGTGGCACATTAGGTATATCTGAATTTTTGTTATATGGCACTTTTTAAAAATTGTTTAACCCAACTGTATATACTGTCAAATGTTGTGGGAGTGAGCTTAAATGCATATTTATAACATCTTTAAATGTTTAGTTATATTTTACATTTTTTTCTGATATCATTTATGAAATGTGACATATACAGACGCTATCAGTGCATACGTTTTTTCTCATCAATCCAATTCTCAGACATTTGACTACGCTCACAACTTATTCTATAGAACAAACAAAAGCTAAACACAATAAAGGAGTTGACCTTTGAAAAACACACATAATACTCACTGGGATAATTTTAACAGACTTTCAAAACACTATTATACACAATCAAATGTAACTCATTGCGCTTAATGGCATAAAGTTACATTTATATTTGGTGTGTTTTTTTACAGACGTTCTGAGAGCAGAATAAAACTAAAGAGTCATCACCTGTCAGCACTGCGCAAAAGGACTTTTTGTTATGTCTCTGTCTCTCCATCTCTCTCTCCTAACAGATGGGCCGTTAGTGAGCCTGTTTCCACAGTTTTCCAGCATGTGAGAGAGAATGCCGTGCCAAACCCCTGCTGGCATCATCTCACTGGCCAAACTCCCTCTCTCTCTCCCACACACACACACACACTCATGCGCTCTCCGCAGATCTATCATTCTCTTTTTTTCACTTGTTTGCTCTCCCTGTCACTCATGATACCTGCGGCAGGTATTATGTCATAATTATTACATCCACACTTCAAAGGCACCACAGCACAAAGAACAAAAGTGATGAAAAGAAGAAACATACAGTGAGATCGAACACAGCTCAAGCAATCACACACACATTTTCAAACCTTTGCCAAACCTAATGGAAATGTCACTCATTTCTTATTTACACTGAAGCTGAGAGCTCTACTTCCCAGCTTGAATGAATATTTCTCTCTGTTTAAGATGAAATTGTTGCAGCGCCATGGAAAACAAACTAAATAAATAAATATTTACGAATTCTTGGAAAAAAAGTCTACACAACTTGAGAAATAAAAGTCTTGTCAAGAAATCACTTGAGTTAATCTGTTCTTTATGCAGTTTTATGTCTCTGCTTGTACTCTTTATGGTTGCTTATATTCTATCACACACTTCACTACAAAAAGGATTAACTTATGGTGAGACGTGTGTGTTTTTTTTTAAATATTGAGATACTGTCAGATGATGATTTGCTTTTATATGCATTTGTTTTACAACTATTGAAAATGTGCTTTTTTTCATGTGTTATATTTATTTTCTTATTTGATTTATACTACACTAGAGTGATTGTCAGTATTGGTAAGAAAGTCAACATTAGGAAGGTAATGCATCAACAGCAGGAGAGGTTTGTTTGGAAAAGTTCCTAGTAATTACCAAATTTAATTACTGTACTAAGTAAACAGTATTTACGGTTGGCTACATGTGAAACATGACTGTAAAATAAAGTACTACTAATATTTTATATACAGTACATTATGAGGATTTGACATGCATACAATGAAAATCTTCCATTGGGTTTCTACTTCATATTTAATTAAGATACATTATTTATGTTATTTTAACCCATACATGTCTTGAAACCCAAGGTACCCTTTAAATTAAGCCATTGCCTGCCTTTTATTAGGATATTGGCTATTTGTTACTTAAACCGTGTTGGGAAAAGTTATTTTGAAAGTAATGCATTACAATAATGAGTTACTCCCCAAAAAAGTAACTCTGGAAAATAATGCATTATGCTACTTTTGAGTAACTTTTGAGTAACTTTTAAGTTATTTTTTCTTACCTGCCTGAGACTTGATCTCTTTCAGAACTTTGTTTTTTTTTTTTTTTTAATAGAGGAGCTCTGCATTTAACAACACGCTGTATAAACTACTACTTTATGTACCTTTAACATTTTTAATAAAAAAAATGTATGTTAGCATCTAACTTCCTGACGCTATTATTGCCATACCAATTAATGCAATTTGAAAGCAACGTGTTTGTGAGGATCTATAAGGAAATTTAAGGATCTGTGAGGGGATCTGTAAGATCTGTAAGGTTTTTTCCAGTTCCTGCGGAGAGCTCATTTTCTCATTGAGTGTGATTCAACATGATTACACTAATTTTCATTTAGCAAATAATTAAAAAAAAAACATATGAATTAATCTAAAAAGTAACTCAAATATTATTTCTTTTTTTTTTTTTAGGTAATACGTTATTTTACCTGTTACTTAGAAAAGTGTATACATATATATATATATATATATATATATATATATATATATATATATATATATATATATATATATATATACATATATACACATTGTATATATAACTTGTGTAGAGCTTGCATGTTTTTCCCATTTTCACGTGCGTTTCTGCCAGGTGCTCCGGTTTCTCCCACAGTCCAAAGACATGTGGTATAGGTCAATTGAATATACTAAATAGGCTGTGGTGTATGTGTGAGAATAAGAGAGTGTATGGGTGTTTTTCAGTGTTTGGTTGTGGCTGGAGGGGCACAAACTGCCTAAGACATATGCCGGATGAGTTGATGATTCATTCCGCTGTGGCGACTCCTAAATAATAAAGGAACTAAGCCGAAAAGAAAATTAATAAATGAAAAAAAAAAATATTATAATAATAATAATAATAATAATAATAATAATAATAATAAAAATAAAAAAAAAAAAAAATATATATATATATATATATATATATATATATATATATATATATATATATATATATATATATATATATATATAAAGTTTGTAAATAATGTGACATTTGGATAGGAGAAATGGAGCAATTCAATGTGAAAATTGACTTATAAATGTTATTTTTGAACTACTGTAACTATAAGGCAGTAATTGAAGAATTATATATTTTTAAACTATTAAATATTTAATTATCATTTTATAATATAGCAATTATATAGCAAACAAATACTGATGGCAGGTAAAATTGTTAATCATGTTTGGTTTTATGGTCTCAAAAATCAATGTATAATTAAATTAAGAAAAGAAATGTTTTCATTTTGAACGTACATATAATATATTTTCTTTCCTCGTGTACCAGCTATCGTACCACAGAACACACAAATCTAGCAAATGTGTTTAGCCAATATTTAATATATGCAGTATGAATTTTAAAACTTAAACCTTGCACTCTTGCTATTCAGAAATCAATAATAATAATAATAATAAAACAATTTTATTACAAAATATATAGTAAACCAGGTATTTTCAATTACATCCTGATAGTTAATTGCATTGGTTTTCCTCACATATGCTTTTCTCTGTCCTCTCTGTAGAGTTGGAGGGCAGAGCGCAGTGCTCTTACGCGTCCACTGCTTTGGTGTCAGTGCGGTTCTCGTGCGCTCAGGAGTTAGACAGAGACGCAGCAGCGCACGACAAACAGCCGACTTCACTTCCGAAGACCAGCGCGTTCTTCAATTAGTGGCTCGAGTGCTAATGAGGCTTTTAACGCAGCATCCAAACTTGTTAATGAAATAGTGGCGTTTCGTGACACACGTTTTGCGCAACTTGCTTCCCTCATCTGGCGCCAGATCTGCTGGGGAATAAAAGATGCTTCTCGACGTGCTCTGTTCCTATGAAATGATTTGGATTGCACCTCGCATTTTTGGAGGAAATCAGCACTGAACGCAGTACGACGTTTTCTGGACAACTTTGGTGCCAGTGGACACGGGCATTCGCGAAAGTCTTTTACTGCCGCGAGATTGTTTGGCTCTAAACAGGATGGACCTCGTCGGGCTCTACTTGTTCCAGCTGGCAATTTTTGGTGAGTTTTCCTCCGATTAATTCTGCTGATTTGGGGGGAACGGAGGATGAGCTCAGTTGCAGCTGTTGCGGATGTGAAGCGAATGATGAATCCCTTTGCCTGCAGACGCACGAAGCATCTTCGCTGTGCCGCTGCGTTTAACTTCACTTTGTTTCTTTGGCGATTGCAGTGTTGTAAGAAGTTATTCTACCAGTGTTGAAACTGTTGGGACGTTAATGTCTCTTCTGGTTTGATGGTCAGTGCGCGCGTAACTGTCATTATCATGTGTGGCACACCAAATGAGACGGATATCGGACGACCTGCTAATCTGATCGTGTTTGTGTGTTAAAATGACCTTTCGCTTGCTTTTAATGCGCTTGTTCACGGCACATTAGCTCCGTCATTAAAGCAGCAGTCTGACAACCTGTCCGTCAAGCTGCGCGCGTCATCGTGGCATCTCGGTCCGCAGGTAAAGCGCAGGACGCATCCATCCTGCTGCAGCTATATGCAAATGTCTTTAAAGAATGATGAAGAGCCAGCAGCATGAGACTGTGGAGTCATGAGCTCTTGTCAGAAGCATTTGTGAAGGATACCTCCTAACTAGACTCCATGCCGCTGGCTCCTGTCGCCCTGTCGCTTCATTTGTGTATTCCTTTGAGACTTAGTTTTGTCAAACAGTCTCAGGAGAGGCACTTGTGCAATGGGCAACAGGCTGAAACCAGGGAGGCTTCCTTGGCATGCAGGAAAGGATGTGGGGGAAAGATGCTCAGATTTATGATGACAGTCCTGTTTTACCCCTCTTGGATAGTATGATACTTAATAGCATTGCTGAAGCAAAACTGCTGGAGTCATGCTTCATTTAATGCTTTCACGTTTTAAATTCCCCACATTGTCGCATTTAGGAGAAATAGGATGTTTTTAAATCTATGAAAATACACAAGAGCAATGCAGAGCTATGATTCTCAATATCGTAATTAGATAATTTTACTTGATTTTGAGTTGATTGCATCTACCCTAAAAAAAAGATATCTTCGATAATTATAATGATGCAGATTGTTTACCTAAAGCAGAACCCTTTGTCATTGTCTATCCATTTTGTTACAGCACAGATATATCATGTTTCAGTGGAACACATAAGCAGTTATTATCAGAATGTCAAGGCTTTCTTTTACATTAAACAAAGATGCATTAACGTTATCAGTCACGTTCAGCAGCAATTTAGCTTGGTTTAAAAATGAAAAGGCTCAAATATTTAGTCAATGTTTAAACCTGGGTTACCTTGAGCAGTATATAAAAACCGTATCACCAGTTAAAAAATGTGTTACACTTACATAATGAACTACATAAGCAGATTTAAGGTGTTATCTAGCTGCTTAGGGAGCCCAGTGAACGACTGAAATTGGTCTAGATATGGTGTAAAAAATAAAAAGGTGTTTGATGGCATTTATTTATTTATTCATTTATTTTATTTTATTTTTTATTTTTTGTCAAGAAAGCAGACCACAGCAGATTCATAATAGAAAGTGGGACACCTTGTTGAGATTACATAATGGCTGGGTTTGTATACCTAATCAAATGATTGTGTTTTATTTTTAAAATAAGTTAAAGTAAAGAATAAGTCAAGTCCTGGGGAATGAATGCTGATCTTTCAGTTCTACTTTATTCATTTCTGTGGTGAATGGTAAGTGCAGTAGAGTCAATCTGACCTGTCAATCCAGTCCAAGTGCACTTTCACTGTAAAACAGTTCCTGGTTGACCTTTACTTATTCCTTCTGTACCCACAGTACCTGAGATACAATTTCTACTAATGTTTTGAAATGACATTAAAAAATCCATCATCATCATCATCGTCTTGACACAATCGGATCCCTGATGTCTGACTTTAACTTTGACAATGCTGTATGTAATGCCATTTTTTGAGAATTATATCAAGATCTGTACATTAGGTCATATTTTATCGTGTTTTAGCTTATTTGAGTTGTTGACATCTGCTCCAAATATATATAAGATTTCACAATAGTTTACTAATATTTGCAGAAGCGTGTGTACTTCCGTTTTACGTTTTTTTTTTAATTTTTTTTATTGGCATTGTTTGGTCTCAACCTGAAACAATTAGTTTCATCTGCCCAAAAATGACCAAAATAATCATCTGAGCAAGCAACTTATTATAGTTTTATAAACAAATTTCAGGAAGAGCAGGCTCAGATGTTTTAACAACTCTTACTCAGCATTGACAATCATTGTTAACACTTTATTTTGATGGTCCATTTGAGTATTAGTAGACTGGCTGCTTAATATCTGTTGATACAGCTCCTTCAACAGACATTTAACTGAATATAAAAACTTTGCAAGTACATGTCAACTTTCACTAAACCTAACGCCAACTCTAACCCTAACCTAACAGTCTACTTCAAAATAAAGTGTGACCCAGTGATTCTAGTATCCAATCAGCATCAGACCAAACCCACATAAATACCAAACTTGTACTACCTTCATTATCTCACAACTTTAGCATCCCTCCACTACTCTGACACCTCACCTCTTAAACACTCTACCTAGCGGGAGCGTTCTGAAGTGCTAGACACTTTACTTGGACCCCAACGTCTCTCACTTTCCTAACAAAGGGAATAACACGAGTCGGGGTGTCTTTTCCGAGCCCAAAGCCCTCTCCCTGGACAGCACACCAAATATGCTTTATTCTTCGAACATATGTAAGTGTGAGCTTGTGAATTTACATTTTTTAAATCAAGTGCCTTAATGTAGTGTAAAAATAATAACAGTTTTGTGTTGTATTGTGTGGTTATGAATTTATGTCTGGTTAGCATTACCAGAATGAAGGTTTCCACATGAAAAGATGCTATAGTAATTTTACATAAACAAGTAACATTAACAAATAACCCAATACTGTAGATTTTTACAACTATTGTGTAGGGTATATAACACTACCATAAACCAGAGTTTACTGTAGTAAAAGCTACACTACAGTATTTATTACATTTTGTAAGCGCACTCTTGTTAATACTACAGTATAGAAATGGATGTAAATATTATAATATACATAGAATAATATACAAGTGTTTGTGTTGGTCAAAAGCAATATAGTATTTAATTATAAATAAAAATATATTTTTTCATCTGGGTTTGTTTTAAAACAATGTGTGGACATGTTTGGACGGCCCCTTACACTCAATTTTGTTTCTTTTTTAATATTTTCCAATTTACCAAATGCTTATAGGAACACAATTTACATTCATGTCAAAGCATACATCTTATGAGTATGTGTGTTCAAGGATCAACCCTAGTAGTGTTCTGATATATGGTGCAATGCTCTATAAAATAAGGTACAGCAAACAAATTTCAATTGTTATGTAGATCAGAGGGCCCAGGCTCATTCTGATTACGTACCCCTATTTACATTTCCGGAGAGCGCCAAATACATCCCAGGAGTTACTTTTTTTTTTTTTTTGCAGTTTTTGTTTTCACGAATACACCACAGGTCACTCAAATTTCTCTCGTGAGTGCCATTCTTGCCTGCTCTTGTCACGTGATTCCACATGACTGACTGAAAGACTCACTGACCATCCAATCCCCCCAGGGGTACTTACGATAAGTTTAAGACTGATTGGACAGGATTAGAAACAGAAATAAAACCAGAACAGACATTCAATCCAGGGCTATTTTGGCAGATACTTGAAAATGAGAGCATATACCGTCAGTGTAACACATATATTTGCTCGCTCTCTCTCTTTTTTTAACACACGCATTTTTACAAGCAGAAGACAAAAGACATATAGCCAACAGCTAGACAGCCAGAGGCTCATGTAATGTGGTATTTGAGTGACACTTTTGGACTGATTTTTGCACACGTTTGTCATGGTTGGGAGTTTCTATTGAATTTCCATCGACTAATTGATCATCTAACCTGAAAATAACCCCTTTTTGCATTTTAAAATGTTCATTATTAAGCAGTATTTCTTCCCTGCTCCCAAAAAATGTAGGTGATTTCAGGTTTTATTATCTATCTGGGGACATTTTATTCTTAGCAAGTCAGCGTGTGTTCATTTCACCTCTTTTAGAAATGCAATGCACTGCTAACAGCAAATATTTTGGGTCAAAGCATGCTCTCCTACAGAGGAGAATGTGAGCGATGATTGGTTTGTGTCCTTCTGTGTCGCACTTCACTTTGACAACCATCAAAGTGCCGGCCCAAAGAGAAACTTTCATGGGCTTTGTCAACTGTTTTATTGCACCTCATATTCAACTTTTCTTACAAAACAAATCTTCTATTTTCTATGTGGGAATACAAAACTATAAGTTACGAACGAATAAAGATGAATAGGAATGATCAGCTCACAATTTCATGTGGCATTACCTAGTGTTCAGTCAAGTTTAAAGGCTTAAAGTTTAAATCCGAATTACTCTTTCTCAAAGTGTTAATGCCAGTGATCGTTGCGTAATTTCCAACGATTAACAATAGTGTGATATTCACGCATGCAAGGCAAATGAATTCCACCTTTTCTTGACTAATGCTCATTTAGCCCTTTAAGCTCTTAGAGGATTGAATAAATTTGTTAGCCGCACATTTAGTAACCTTGAATTGTGGCAGATTACATTATGCACTGCTGTTCATTGCACCACGCTGGGATATGAATTTATTCCGGCACGGCTTTTCACCAGCATTAATGTGAATGGCCCCTCCTCTCCCCCATTGGCCTGTCCAGGTTCTCTGTCTTCACCCTGCTAATTGTCTTCCATGTTCACTTCTTAGTCTATTCGTGTGGCATGATTTTTTGGGGGAATTCTTAATTAGCTGTCCCCAAGAGTGAATATTGAGTGGGATTGTCTTGATTCAGTCATAGAGATGTACAGTTGAAGTCAAAATTATTAGCCCTCACACATTTTTAAGCATAATAATTTTAATAACTAATTTCTATTAACTAATTTCTTTTGTTATCACATTATGACAGTACCTAATATACTAGTAGTAAAAATAATATTCAGCTTAAAGTGTAATTTAAAGATTTGACTACAGTAGATTAATTATTC